CACCGCGGGCACGGTAAGGACGCGGCGCCGGCTCCCGCGGCGGGCGGGCCGGGCGGTGACGGGCGGCCGCCCGAGGGAAGGGGTCGGCGGCGCCCCTGCTCCGCGGCGCTTTCGGTTTCGAGTGCCCCTTCGGCGGGCGGCTCCCGGCGGCTGTCAGCGTCGGCGCGGCCTGCGGGGCGGCGGGTCAGCCCTTGTTTACGCGGGGCGCGGGGAAGATGGCAGCGCGGCGCCGGCCGCTCGCTCTCTCGCTGTCATGCGTGCTGCCGGAGCGGCGCCCGGCCGGCCGCTCCCCTTCCCCCGGCCCGGCTCGGGGTGCCCGCCGCTGGGCTTGTGTTCGGCGGCTCCGGCGCGGAGCGGGTGCGGCCGGCCCACGCGCTGCGCTGGAGGGTCCTCGGCGCTCCCAGAAGTGGGGTTCTAGCAGTAGCGCGTCCAGGCTGCTCCGGGGTTTGTGGCCCGAAAGGTGGGGAATGGGGACCTCGTTTCGTGCCGTAATTTTGGGTTGAAACGGTGTGAATGCTGCTGGCGTGTTGGAGAAAGCTTTGTAGCAACGCGCTAGCGTGTGCTGAAAGCTCCTCCTGAGGCTTTAGTACAGCTGCCTGGTTAATTGGGTGCTGAGGAACAGAGAGGTCTGGATCTGGGGTTGTTTGCACGAGCCGTTGCTTCCCGGATCCTGAGGAAGCGAAATAAATGGCTGCAGGTCCTTGTGGGACCATGCCGTGGGTCTGAGCCAGGGTTCCCTGCCCTCTGCCTATCTCCATTGCTATCAGTTATTTAGAAAAGGGAGGTGTTGTATGGCCCCTTTGGTGGCACTCTGTTATGAGGTTCCAGCAGTGCCTACCTCAGAAAGCCCCAGAACGTGAGGCTGTGCATCCTTGTGCTGTGCGGTCGCTTAGATGGGTGAGGGTTTCTGTCTCCATAACTTCCTGACTCGAATGCTCTCACCCCTTTGGCCTCTAGAACATCCTTCGAAAATGAATCCGGTCTTGTGCACACCACTTCCTTTGTTGTTGTGCTGTTTTGTTTTTAAACCCGCATCCTTAACTTTTTTCTTTGCGTTGGTCCCTGCTCTTTTATTATGTAAAGTGATGAATAATTTTTCCCTACTCTGATCCGCTGGGGAGTGGAAACGGATGTTAAGGGCCAACAGTTGGCACGGCAGAGAGAGGAGGCCTGGGACCAAGCAGGGCAGTGAGGGGTGAGAGGGGTTTCAGGGCCAGTGGGAAGGGAACCTGCTTGTAGGGTAAAACATGGCAGGGTCCAGATAGGTGTACTGAAGTCACAAAGCTTTCTGCAGAGTGCTGGTGCTTTTTATGTCACCACGAAATTGCATGTCCATAGGATTCATAGGCTTCAGCTATTGAGCTTCCAGAACAAACTTTGGGTGGTCAAATGTCTTGTTAAATAAACGTGGAAGTTGAGTTCCTTGAGATCCTTGCTGTGTTGGTACACTGTTAATTGGAGCCATGGTAATAATTCCTGTGTGTTCAGCAGTAGAATGACTGCCTTGTGAGGTGGGGGCTCTGATGCTTGGGCACGTGTTGTGACAGGACAGTGTGCTCTGAGCACTCCCCTGTTTGAGTTGTTTTTCTGTACCCATTTGTTGTAGTTGATAAGCTGCTGCAACTAGCCTGGACTGTCTGTTTTGTTTTCCTGAAATACAAAGATTGCCCCACGTCAGCTTTTTGGGCAGACCTTATGATTCTTTAGCTATGGAGAAGTTGTTTTTTTCTGCTTTTGCAGAAGCTTCTCTGATTCTAGACGTGTTCCATGTTTCAAGAAACCACAATGAACTCACAATTTCTTCTGTCAGGGAAAACATCTTGGAAAGGCTTTTCAGTTGGCATAACGTGTTTCTTTTTAAGTTTGTAGGTCTCAGGGTGAAAGTGACATTTACTGGTGTGCTCGAGGTGCTGCCTGTGCAAGACTGCTTTTGTACCCGTAGGAAGCCTTGGTTGCAGTCAGTGGGATTCGGCAGCGATCACAGCTGCTGCATTTCTGTCTGTATAACTGATTCTGTGTGCAAGCCAACTTCTTTAGCTATTCTGACCGACCCAAAGGAAGGCCTGCTTGAAAGCCCTGGTATGTGATAGTGCTGCTGGCCTCGGTCCTGCTCCTGCGGCTGTATCTGTGTAGGTATCCACATAAATCTATCCTTGGGGTTCTGGATGCCAACCGAATAAAAGGGAGACATTGTTCCGGAGGCTCGTACACGTTTTCTGAGTGCTGCAGGAGCAGCTGCCTCCCATCAGTGTTACCCAGCGTTCCGGGTGTTTTTCTTGTTTTCTGTGTGGGTGCAAGCGTGTGGAGCTTTTTTCAAGCGCCGCGTTTTCTTTTTCTTTTGTTTGCTTACAATTGAAGTAAAACTAAACCGACTTGCACGTTTATGCTGAGTTTTGTTTTGAGCCAAACCTGGCGTAGGGAGGTGACGTGCTGTGCCATCTTTTTCATGCCAGCTTATCGACTTCAGTTTTCTAATTCTTTCGAGCTGTGTGCTTGCTTTGCTGTTAAGTGGAGAGCGGTTGTGTGCTGAGGGATTGACTTAAGGTTCTGTTTTTGGATGGCTGTTACGTGCTCAGCACAGCTGTGGCACGCAGTGTTTTTAACCTTGTCTGGTAGTTGCTGAAAGCATCATAGGAGTGTTTGGATTTCTTGTGGGGAGGTGCTTGGGTATGTAGACAGACCATTTTGCGATTCTATTTCTGAGGGTGAGAGCAGCTCGGTTTCTTTCTGTTTTCCCACAGGATATGTGTTTAAAGAATTAGATGTGGTGCAGCAAAGCCCTTTTCCCTGTTGTAAGGGACTTGATGGGGAACAGGCCCAGAGTTGTCTGAGATTCAAGGTGGAGGCAGGAGGATGTCCTGGGGTGTGCTGCTCTGCGATAGGGTAGAGAGCGAATGCTTGGCCACTTCCTTCAACAAGAGATGTGTCTGCAGGACTCTATCGCATGCACAGCCCACGCCTACCAGGATGTGTGTTGTTCTGTTTGTCTGAGCGCTGCTAAACCAGGTTGGGTCAGTGGGCTGCTGTCTTTTTCCACCCTGCAAGGTTGTTGAATAAGTTACTGAATAGGAAGAGTCTCTGTGTAAAGTTGGAATCCTGATTTCCAGAGACTCCGTAGCTTTCGTTGATTCCTGGACTGTTTTGTGTCATCTGTCTAAATATACCACCTTTTAGTGAACGCGAGGGTGTAGTGCCCTAATGATTGTCCCATGTATTTTTCTCTTGGAGGGTTTTATTCGTTAGAAATATTGGCTGTGCCTGGAAAGTGAGGATGATCTAAGAGTGTATGTGTTCCTTACATCGCCCTGACTCTGCTTCTATGGGTAATTGCTTATTCGCTTGGAGAGAAATCAGTGCAGAATTCATCTAAGCTTCTCCATTCCTAGAAGCCAAATAAATACATTTCTTTCTTTCTTTTTTGGCATAATCTGATCTACACATGAAGCATTCTCTCTTGCTGCAGCTGCGTTAGCCACCTGTGTGGGATTATCGTAGGTTCAATATGACCAGACAGGAGTCGTGCTCTAGTATACGAGTATTTATTTGTATTGCTATACAGCATGGGGACCAGGTTAGGCTATGCAAGAGTGCTGCCTGAAGCTCCCTCTGCTTTTGTATCAATGCGTTATTCCTGAATTGCTGGAATAATGTTGGGGCTTGGAATTGGTTGGAGCCTGTGCTTCCAAACTGAAATAAATTTTCCATTTGTTGGACTCTTTTTTTGTTGGGTTATGATTGTGCTTGGCAGTATTTCTAATGTGGATGATCACAGAAAAGTAGAACAGTCTGTTTCCAGGATAAGTGGTTTTTTTTCTTTTCCTTTTGGTTATTTTTGTCTATGTTGGGCTTTGGAGTTGTATTACAACCATCATGGGCTTGGGTTAGGAGGGTCCCCAAGGATCATCAAGTTCCAACCCTCTGCTACAGGCAGGGCCACCAACCTCTAGATCTGGTACTACACCAGATCAAGTTGGCTCATCCAACCTGCTCCAATGCATTGATCTCAGTGCAGTTAGCTGCAAGGGTAGTTGATATCAGATTGGCTTCTTGTGTCTGACATGGAATATGTGCTTTCTCCTGTGGAGCTAAGAAGCTAAACTTCTTAGGTTGCATCGTGCTGTAGCAAACTGCTCCTCACTGCTCGGGGTTTATCTGCCTCTTGGAAAGAAACAGGAGATAAACAGTAATACTTAGGGTAGATATATTGTAGCTGTTTAGAAACAAAGCTCTACTCCTCAGTCTGGTCAGGAGAGATGGAAGAAGTTGCAGGTTGTGTATCTCTGTAAGCTCAACCAGTCTGTGATTTACCCAAATTAGAGTGTTATGATGTGCAGTGACCTTCTTCAGACTCTGGACAGTTTCCTCTAGAAAAAGGAAAAAGTGGTGCTGCTACAGTGCTTTTTAATTTAAAAGATAATCATCTGATGTGTATTGATGGGATGTGTGTTATATAAAAAAGGCAATATGGTTGAAAGTGTTATAATGAATCTATAGCTGTTGTGGCTGTGGAATCGGTAGAAAAAAGAAAGTGTCATTTAAAAAAAAACATATCCTGACTTAATAGTAGCTCTAGGAAAGCCGTGCTGGCCCAAATTGCATGGTTTGTATGTATCTGTACCTCTGTAACTTTGAATTTCTCACTGATGTCAAACATCAACATGGTTGTTATTTATTATCTTTTAATAAAAAGTTAGCCTGTTAGTCTGACAAGTAAGCTCTGTCTTTTCTATATGGCTGTGTTCAGTGTTACCTTTACCAAGGTCAGCACAATCTTTCTCTTGTGTTCGCTGGTGCCCTTTCTTGATGTAGAGATACAGCATGCAGTAACTTTCTGAACTGGTGAAAGTCTTTTCAATATCAGCGGTGCAAATAACTTAAAATTATTTTGTATTTCAGCCGCCCACTCCTAGCAGTTGTACAGAAGTGGATTGTGAATGTAAGCCTTTGATAACCTCAGCCTATCAGCATTATAGTCCTTGGGATAGATAGCAACTCTGCAAGCCTCTTCAGGGGATGCACCATGACATCAGCAGTGATTGACACTGGAGGCCCTGGCCTGGAGTTCGACAGCAATGGGATGAAAAACCACGAGGTTAGACAAATAAGCAGAATCTATTTACTAACGTGCTTTATACTTTCTATCCTAATTTGAAAGAAAAAGCTGCTGTATGCTTGTGTGTGAAGTGGACGAGGGAGTGTTTACAGAGCAGATGGCTTTTCAAGGATCTCTTAGCACATAGTTGTTTTAATGCAGAGAAGTGGAAGTAGGAAGCTTTGAAGCCTGCTGTACAATTTTAGACTGAGCTTCCGAAATTAAATTCAATATTAAGCATCTCTTTACATTAATGGTCTTAGGTGTGACTTAAGGTAGGATCAGGTGAGCAAAACAATAGAAGGACCTTTTTCAAACGTTGTATTTGCTTTTATTTTGCATTCTTAAAAAAAAAAAAAAGAAAAGAAAAAAACCCACAACAAAAGCATTCTACTGTCCTGTAGGTAGTAGTAAATACTGTAGCTGGCAGGGTTCCACTCCTGCAACACTTGAACAGATTAAATATACTGCCACAGATATTCTGATCCTAAAACAAAGAAAGATAGGCATGTGGGCTTCAAATTAGCTAGTTCTTTTATGGTAACGTACATACTTAATCCAAAACATGAATGTTCATAAGATACGGGTCAGACAAAGGTATGTTGCAGTATGTGCAGAAAGGCTTGATTACATTTCGTATGGAGCAGAGTGAGAAGAAACACTTGGTAAAGCTGAGTAACTTAGAAGCTTGGTCTTTTCCAATATCTTAAGATTTAAAGCATCAGATAACTTTAAGTGCTTAGAGTCAGTAAAAAAGACCTTTGAGATTCAGGAGTATCCTCTGAGTGAACAATAAGCTCTACTTGTTTTTTTTTTTTTTCAATCTCTTCCTTTAGAAGAAAATTTCCTTTAAAAGTCTTCACAACTGTTATAATTATTCAAAAAATCTGTAAAAGCATAAGAGAAAAACACTGATTTGGAGTTCAACAGTGCAGTATTTAGAGGGTTTTTTCTTTTTTTTTTTTTTTCCCTTTCTATAGGAAAATGAGCCAGTCTCTGAATTCCCAGCTGTGATTGTGGAGCCAGTTCCTAGTGCCAGACTAGAACAGGGTTATGCTGCTCAGGTCCTGGTTTATGATGACGAGACTTATCTGATGCAAGATGTAGCAGAGGAACAAGAAATTGAGACTGAAACTGTGGAAACAGGTAGACTTTAATTTATTTTTTCATTTCTTTCTTTTCTTTCTTTCTTTTTCTTTTTCTTTTTTTTTCTTTTTTTTAGTAGATTTTCTTACTTTTAGAGGTCCCTGAGGAATGTGGCTTTACGTTTACTCACAGGGTAGAGATCCTGACCTGGGATCAGACCTGTTAGCACTGCAGTTAATTGTACTTAGTTTCAGCGGCAGCAGGACTGGGGTTTGACAGGTAAAAATGTCCCCTCAGGTTTAGCATGCTGTATTTCTAGCACTGTGTGCCCTCATAAGTAGGGTAATCTTCATTTATGCGTTTGTTACCTACTTACGTAGGCAGTTAACTAGATAACCTGGAGCTCTTTAAACTCAGCTGAGCCAAGAACCTGGTTAGAATTTAGTTCTACTGTGTGTCTGAGCCAAATAACTGCAGGACAACTGGCAACATGGACTGCATTGTTCTACTCAGCCTATCTTCAAACTCTTTCCCCCTCCCCAAGAGCTGTGCGCTTTGTTGCTTTCTTCCTACCTTTTTGGTCTGAGAGCAGTTTTATTGCTGCTTTAGTGGCAGGAGCGCATGGCTGAAGGGAATGGAATTGGACTGTCCTGTTACAGGCAAAAAGCTTAATGGACTGAAATTAACTCATGCTATACGGTGAAATAAGTTATGAATGAAGAAAAGAGTAGAGCTTGGGCATTAAAGCGCCTGACCTGTGCACAGAGAGATACACGTACCTCTAACTTTCTGCAGAACACATGCTCGTGAGCTCTGAACTTCCTGAGGAGGACCACTGGCTGTTTGAACTGTCTGAAAAAATGAAGGCTGTGCTCCTCTGAGAGCCTAGTGACATCTGATGGTTCAGGCTGCTACTGTGTTGCAGTGGCTGTCACCCACCCTGTCTGCTTTCTTGTGCTGCTCGTAATCATCAAACTTTGAAAAACATTCCCCTGTGCTAATTTTGCTGGAACAAATAGCAGAGAAACAATAGAACTAAAATGTTCTATATTTTTCCTAGAATTAGCATGTTGATGTGGGGCAGGGAACTGCAACCAAAGGGAGGAAAAACCTGCCTGGGCAGTCTGTACTAAACCCCTTGAGTGGAACATGGCTGGCTGATACACATACCTTGGGGCTGCTTAACTTAGAGAGTTTGAATTCCTGTTGTCACATAGGCAAAACACAGCTGGCTGACTCTTCTCACAGTTGCTGAACTTTGTAGTGCAGTAAATATGTGCACGTTTCCATCAGACAGAGTGGGTTAAAGTCCAGTTTCTCCCTAAACAGTGGATGCAATTGCTCATACATTTTTGGAATCGGAATGTTAATCTCATGTGGCACTGCATCAAAAATCACATGCATCAACTTTGTAAGATACGTATGAGCGAATTGTTCAGATCTTGGAATGCTTCCAGTTTAATGAAATGCGGTTTAAATTAAATATACTAATTGTAAGTTACATTAATGTAAAGGAAAGATATGAACTGTGGCTTTTTTAGAAGTTGCTTTTCACTGTGGTGACAAAACTTATGAAGGTAAGTGGGAGGTGAGGGTGCTCCTCCCAACAAGCTGACTTTTATGAATTAAACCTGTATTTGAAAGCTTTCAAGTGCTGATATTTTGATACCTTCTGCATTAAGTAGTGTTGCTTTTTGGACATGAAGTATCCTGTTTCTCATGAGTAAGATTTTGATAGCTTAATGACTAACAGAGCAGCGCTCTTAGAATGAGGAGCTATTGCAAGTGAGCTCTTTCTGTCTTTAAGTATTATGTTTTGGCCACAGTCAAGTGGGGGAAATGCCAATTAAGAACTCATAGTTCTTCTCTAGGATTCTTTCTTTTTAGCTGCTGTTCAGAAGTATATTCAGTACGTTCAGAAGGGCAGGAAATACAAAGGACCTAGGAAACATTCACTTGGGTTATGTGCCATTACAAGCAATGGACTGCAGGAGTGTAAACTGCAGTGTGTTTTATTTCCATGTTCATTGCTAAAGGTGTTTGGAAGGAAGCAGCTTGACATTGGAGATGTGGTAGAAGATGCTATCGTTGGTGTTAATGAGAAAGCAGGCTAAAACAGAGAAACAAGTAAAGATGATATACTAATGCTAAGAGCATTTCAGGATCCCTGTTTGGTGAAGTATGTGCTTCTGGTATGTCCTAATTTGGATACACACATCAACTTGTTTTCTGCGTATCTTCGGAAAAAAAATCATGTTGTTCAATGAACCCCTTCTGTACTATGCAGTTAATTGAGTCCTGTATAATTTAGTAAAAGGCAGCATTTCTAGCCATCAGATGCATGGATCAGCGCCCTTTGTGATCAGCATGGTAGGGTGGCTGACGTGCTTCTTGGTGCATTGAACAGTCCAGCCATTAAATCCACCTTTCCAATTTGGAGAGAAGGATGTTGTGGGACGGTTGTGTCCAAGGCCTTATTCTAAAGTATGGTTACCCGTAGGCTCTACGGTCACCTGGTAGCAGCCTTTCACTATCTAAAGGGGAGCTACAGGGAAGAAGGGGACGGACTGTTTATCACCATCTATGGTGATAGGGCAAGGGGAGATGGCTTCATAGTTAATGAGGGTAGGTATATGTTGGATATGATGAAAAAGTCAGTTACAGTGAGGGTGGTGAGGCGCTGGAATTGGTTGCCCAGAGATGTGGTGGAAGCCTCATCCATGGAGACATTCTCAGTCAGGCTGTACTGAGCTCTGAGCTACTTGAGCAAGCTGTAGGTGTCCCTGTTCATTGCAGGGGAGTTGGACTAGATGACCGACCCTAGCTGGGCCTTCTAAGTGTTCCTTCCAACTCGACCAATTCCATGACTCTATGAATGCTGATGATTTTTTATTTAATTTGAGGGCAGTGTATATGTACATATCTGTATTTCTCCTTTTGGACACTTTCCAGTCATCCGCTAATCTATCTTATCTATCTTGATTTGTCGCTCGGGAATCATTAATCATAATTAGTCAATCAACTATAAAATTAACCCATGAACTATAAAAGTAAAGCCCAACAAGGTTACCATAAGAAACACCAGCTGGTTCCAGTTCTGTTTGTCTGTCCCGTTCCAGGAAATAAGAAGCTACCTGTGTGCTGGGAATGGGGGAAAGACTTGATTAAGAGAGTTATCTAGGGAAAATGAAATGCAAGGGTTTAAATATTTTCAGGTGCTCATACGACATTGTCGGTGGAAGTAAAAAGCCTTTCTGATGTTTCAAAGGGAAAGTGTCAGCCTTACATTGAAATAATATTTATCTTCCTGTGCACAGTATCACTCTTATCACCCTTTGGACTATTGGGAACAGAGTTACCAGCTTTGTTTATTGGAACAGTCAAAGTGTTTCTATCACAAGCCTTCTTAACAATTGGTTTATAATACATGGATTTTGTTTGCTTCTACTTCCTGATTACTTATCCATCCTTACAGTGTTTAGCCCTTCACAGCAAAACCTTTGTGGTTTATGTAACAGCATAAACTGCCATCCCTAAAGGAGCAGCCTCTCTGAAATGGAGTTATTATAGTTGTCTGCCATGACACAGAGCCCCTAACGTGGATGTGTATGTTAGTTAATTAGATGATGTAATCTTTTGATTTACTCTCTATGCAGATCTGAAGGTACCACAGGCATGATCTGCTGTTCTTGTATGTGGATGATGCTTTGTCTTTGAGCCACGTTTCTTTGAATGTGGTGTTCCATCAGAAGTCCTCCTATGGTGCGAGCTGAAATTCTGGTTTAATTCTGTAAATGGTATTGCCACACAGGGATGGAAGGTGTGCATGAAACTACTTTCATGTACCTTCATGGACATCTGAAAACGAGCCCCTCCAGGATTACAGTCTGATGGAAGAATATTGTGCTACAAAGACAACAATGATGGTATGTTTGTCTGTGATCTCTGAAGGTTTTTTTCTGCCCGGAAGTTCCTGTAAGTTATCAAGTAAATTGATAGCCTTCGTTAAGGAGGAAGGAGATGGATATGCAGTGAATTAAGGCTTAGCTCCTCCCCCGATAAAAGAAATGCTTGAAGAAATGTTTATTTTTAAGGCAAATCTTCTTTTGGAGAGGAAATTTCAGGTTATTACTCAGTTATCAGCATGAGAACCAGTTACGTGTGTCTGTGTAACAGAGTCCCTAATTGTTACCTGTTCCAGTATCTGCATCTCCTTGTCTTCTCTCATCATCATTGAAGTTGTTTTCTGCTTGCTTATTTTAGGTGTGAACCTGTGAACCTTTTGGTTTCTAACAGTTGTTAAATGAGATATACTGAGATCTGGTAAAAGCCTTACATTTGATTTGATTATGTGTACGTTGGGGTTAAACAAAGCAAAGTATCCTTCACGTCCAGACGTGATTTGATTGAACTGCCTCTTCTACAAGACAAGTGGGCATTTGGTGGGCATTGCAGTAGTGCTGACATATTGTGGTGATTGGTCTTTGTCTCCTTACTCAGACAGCTTGACTGAAATTATTCTAAGTGCAGAGCAGTGTGCTGTAGAAGGCTGTGCTGATTAGAAACCAGAGTCTGGATGTTCCATGAACCACACTGAACTCTCAGCCTAAGCTGGTGCTGCCTTCATCAAAGGGCTGAGATGATGCCCATTAGCCAGATGAAAGAAAAAAAATCAGCCAGGAAACTTTGAGTAAAGTGCAGAATAGTTGCTCTACTGCAAGGATTAAATGTCCCTAACATGTTCATAGCTTTAGAATGCGAGTTCACATGGTGTCAAAAGAGAAATTGCTACTACACTGGTGTGAGTTCTCCCACTGTCAAGAAATGCATTGCATTTTTGCTAGCTAAATATCAGTGAGGATGAAACAAAATGATGCCCCTCCAGTTGCATGTGCTACTTTGTGTAGCTCTTGGAGCATTCCTGCTGCAGACAGGAAGGCCTGTTTTCAGTGACGCTTTTAAATCAGATGCAAAATTGAGCGGCAGCTGAAATTTTGTGTCATATTTGCCGGCGTTTCCTTTTCTGAGATATTAATGGAAAGAGCTGCTGCAGGTGCTCTGTGGTTGATGTGTTTGTGTAGCAGTAACGGCCTGGCTGTGGTATTCAGTTCTGTCTAGATTTCAGGTTTCTACCTTGCTGCTTTCAGTGCTCCTTTGGTGCTTTAAGAAAAAAAAACAACATTGCGAAACTTAAGTTCGTTGTTATAAAACCTAATTTAACGTATGCTTTTCAGTCATTATTATTTTCTATGGTAAATATGAGGCTGACTGAATGGCTTGCTAGAATGGGACGTTCTGACTCTCACGCTCTTTCCAACTTCCTAGTCTAGTTCTAGTTGGTAGTGAGGAATTGCAGACTGTTGATCAAAGAGTCAGCCGCTATATTTTACTGATGGAAGCTGAGCGACTTTGTAGTGTGTGTCTTGAAATCAGAATGCAGTATGATGTATGCTCATGCCAAGACAAATTTGGTGTAAGATAACGGTATTTATTGATCAAAGGTCTGGTGACTGACTCATAAGGAATAATTTTATTACAATTATGCAAGGGATTGCGTATAACAATATTTTTTGAGACATAGCTGTCTGTCTTATTCTGCATTCACAAGAAATCATGCCGGTATTGAGACTTCAGTTATTTTGAATGACTCCTTTCTGTTTATCTGTGGTATCCAGTCCTGAGCGTGTTTTCCTCACTATGTGGGATCGCTAGTGGCCGCACGAATAGTTAACACTAGGAGCCTAGGTCTACCCAACCTGTTATGGTGTAGTCGGAGACAGCCTTAGTACAGTCCAGCCACCCTTCTTAGTATCTCGCAGCTTCTTTGAGGGGCACGTTGTGTTTATCTTGCCGTTATTTCTGCTATTTTCTGTAGTGGAATCCACAGGGGATGCTAGTGATTATGGTGATAGGCTGATAAAGGGGACTGTTGCATCCTCTTTCGTGTTTCTGAAATCTATTTACGTCAGAGGGTTGCAATGCAATGAAGTACCAGCAGTTTCATGGTTGCTGTCCTCAACAATGGGCTATCTCTGTAATTGCTCGACGTGAATTGCATGGGGATTCTGTGAAAAACTGGCCTGGAATTCTGAAGTTACTTGAAACTTTCTAGTTTGGATGGCAGTTGAGTATTGTTCCTCTGTTATCACTGAGTAATAGAATGGCCTGTGTTGAAAAGGACCACGATAGTCATCTAATTTCAACCCCTCTGCTGTATGCAGGGTCGCCAACCACCAGACCAGGCTGCCCAGAGCCACATCCAGCCTGGCCTTGAATGCCTCCAGGGATGGGGCATCCACAGCCTCCTTGGGCAGCCTGTTCCAGTGTGTCACCACCCTCTGTGTCACAAACTTCCTAATATCTGACCTAAACCTCTCCCGTCTCAGTTTAAAACTGTGTCCTATCACTACTGCAGGCATTCGTGTAGACTACAAATGCCACCCAGTGACAGATTGCTGCCTGCCCTTGGCTCCTTACACAAGCAAAGTCAAACCAATCACTGCCAAGAATCAGTAACTGCTTTAAGATAATTTGCCTTTTCTGGCCATAGCTTTATCATTCTGGAATCGTCTGTGGATAAAAATAGTTAAGTAC